CTCAAGCACAAAACACGGTGACCTGTCCTGCCCATCCTGCAGTAACGCAGACTGGGGCTTTTTCCCTTTCTTCCTTCCACATTGCAGCTGTCATTTGTTCCTGAGGTTAAAACCAAAGAGGGAGAGCAGGAGTCCCTGCAGCAAGAAAGCCACACACTTCAAATCGAGCACTTAGTTGTCAGCATCTCTTGAGTCTCTCCTACTCTGATCTGTTCATTTTTGATCCATTTGTCAGATGACAGGGTGTCATTTAAATGATTGCCCTGCACAGCAGGAATAGATTTTTCTATTGTAACTTTGGTTCCATGCCCAAGACACACTGACTTGATCAGCTGAAAGTGGTTCCTTCCCTTTAAGTTCTTCCTAGGTGATGTAGGTTGTCAGTTTATTTTTCTTCCCCTTTTGTAATTTCAACATACAGGATTTCATTAAATGCAGCATATATCATAGCTTTAGACAGGAATTGTCAGGTAACAAACTTTGAGTGATGGCTTTAAAATACAAGATGGTTGCAGTCTTGGCTACAGGTTGTTCATTTTTATACTTTTGAAAATAGGTGTAAACAATATTCTCTTCATCGAGGGGTGGAAGCATTTGCCTTTATAAGGACTTATCTGTGTGGTCGGGCACTCTAAAAGTTAAAAAAAAAAAAAAAAAAAAGAACATCTGTATCAGATAAGGTATAAGTTTGTAAGTTCCTCTACCTACCTATCCCAGATTTGCCAAGATACAATCAATCTATCAATCAGGAAGCTGAAAAGGCTAGTAGTTATCAGTGTGAAACTGGTATTGTCTGCATGAAAAGCACTTGTGAGAATTCTGTGTATTTTGATAAGCTTGTTCATTTAAACCCCACGAAGGTCAACCCTGTGGTGCATAAAAGTCCCCACAGGCATGTTCACATGAGCAGTATGCGTAAGTTTCAATGACTCTTGAACCAAAGCTGCCTACAATTCACCTGTAACAAGAGCCACGGCAGCAGGCAATATCCTTGGGGTGTCAGAGTTTTGGCTAATGCAGCACTGAGGCAAACAGAAACTGCTGCTGTTCTGAGAAAGCCTACCCCACCTATAGAAAACAACTTTGGTTCTCAGGTTTGAGACCAGGGAAAAAAGGGCATATTTTGTCTTTGTTATCTCAGCATTCAAGCCTACATAGTAAAACTCACTGGGTACAAAATCCACACAGACCACACTTCCTTATGTGATCACAAATAAGTGAATACATATGTTCACAAGCACAGAGAAAAGGCAGGTAGGAAAATCCCATATAAACAGGAATTAGAGAGCTACTGCACATGGCTTCCTTCATTTGCACATTCTTGTCCTTTGTTATTTCAGTACAGCAGTGAGTCAAGTGTTCAGTCTGGGTGAGAAGGAAACCAGAAAGTATTTTCTGTGACCACACTGCGGGTTTCTGTCTCCTGGCTAGAAGATTGGTAAAGGATAAACTGAACCGAGGCGTGAACAAAACCAGACTTTTCATCATCAAGTGGCTGCTAGGATGAGCTGGGCTTTTTGTTTGTTTTGTCAGGGATCTGTACGAAGTCCCTTATGATAAGGCTAAGACAGTTCACTTGCATCCACTGGAAGTAAAGCAATTTTGCAATATATATATATATATAGTATATTATACATATGACAAAATATACAGCTCAATAGTTGTAAGAAGAAATACTGATGGCACACTCCCCATGCCATGCTCACCTTTGCTGAATTAAATCACCTGGGTAGGCAGGTGTTTTCTAATGCAAATGGGCAACACAAATCAATGTTATTTATTCTCTCCAATTCCATGTATTCCAGCTTTGGAAAATATGACTTTGCTAAAATCCCTCTCCATCTTGCCAATACCATTCCCAAATTGCTCGTGTCTGGAGATTTCCCCTCAGGTACTGAGGGGAGAGGATCCCATAGAGGAAAATGCAGGGGTGAAGGCAGGGGATGAGGAGCTTACCATTACCTTGTTTTTGAGGAACTGCTACAAGACTTGATGCTTTGCACCTGTGGAGTGACTGGCCTTGGTAAAACACTCTACAGGTGTCATGCGTGCTGTGATGCTGGGCCTGCTGCAGCTGTCTTTACAGTTCAAGGGAGTTCACAGCAGTGCAGATCCTCTGGAAAAGCATTGAGTTTATATATCCCCCACACACACCTCACCCGTAAGATTTTTCCACCTTCATAGTCAGTGTCAGTTCTCTAAACCACTGTATCTCCACCACTGTCATGACTCTTTTCCTCTGTCACTCAGCTCACCATAATCTGTCTTGTTGATTCCTACCTGATGTTCGTAAAGCCAAATATGTAAAAGCAGGATGGGAAAGGCAAAAGAACCCTTCATCTCCTGAGTGGTCCTAGGAGTGTCACTACTGCCTAGCAGGCTTTATGGGGCTGTAACCCACATTTCAGCTCCTGCTGATGCTTCTCATCTTCTCTATGTGGAACTAGACCCCTGTGTGCTCCAGGGACCAGCCACTATGGAGCAACAGTGACTTCAATGAGTGAAACTCATCTTGGCATTGTAGTTAGAGCAGCATTCCTGGGCTCAACAAAGTGATCTCGAAGGTATTTACACCTGCTACACCTTAGATGTTATGTAAAACAGGAGTAAAACCCACTGAAGGAGACTGGGCCAGAATGGGGGTGGAGGGTGGGGAGAGAAAGGGCGTGGGGAGGGAAGTGAATTGTTGACACAGTCCCTAAGGGATCCATGTAAATTCCCCTGCAATGACATCAGTCAATTGTACAGCTGGGACAGCTTTGTCAGCCCTACAGACAGCACAGAAATGTTTATGTTGTTTTCACTATTAGTCCTGTTCAATGAACATGAAAGCAAGGCGTGCATCAGCTCTGAAGAGCGAGAGCTGAACAGGACCCAGCAGCCCAAGAAGGCAGGATGACTCCAAGTGAAAAACAGCAAACTTAGGAAAAATATGGAGTTCTGACCTTAAGCATCTCATTAGCTTTTCTGACCAGCCAATACCTGCCCTCAAACTAGGGCCAAAAGGACATAAGTGTTCTCAGCAAATGGTATTAGGAGATTGGTATTGGTAATACCAGGACGTATAAGCTTCTCACCAATTCTGCAGCTGTACTAGAAGAGGCAAATACTCACTAGAGAACCAATACCATACCCACTCTGGTGGAAAATGTAGGTGCAAACTGTAAATATATAAAACTCTGAACCTCTTATTGCCCAAGTTTTTCTCATATGCTGCACAAGGACATTATTTTAGTTATGATAGGAACGGAAAACGGACAACAGTACAGGCAAATGGAAAAAATTCATGCAGGCAGGTTCTCACAAATGTCACTACCAGTTCCTGCGATTTTTCAAGGTGCACCTTAAATCCAATAATTTTTTTTATTTGGAATCTCTCTCTAGTTGACTGCTTGTTCTAGACTCATGATTCTGTGGTACAGCAAAAGACACAGTCTTATAAAGTTATTTGCTACTACTGTGTGCTGTGAAAATCTTGGCTTCTTAAAATTATTCTGTTTGGTCACTTCAGAAGAGTTTCTGATTTTTTTTCTTCATCATGAATAAGGAAGAAACTGTGAAGTCAAACTTTCACCAGTCAGAGCCACCTAAAACATCTCACAGTCATACCATGCTGTACCATGGTTCTCAAAAATCCTGCAGTAAGAACACAAGCATGCAGTCATAACTTAATGTGTTTCATAATCACTGGATCAAGGCAGTATGTTTTAAACAGAAACAACTTGAAGAAACTTGATAATGATACTGACTCTTGTTCACAAGAGCTGTGATCACTATCTGTCCACATTTCTCCTAATTTGTCTCTATCGGTTGTTCCCTGATTAAGCCAACCTCCATGTATACTGATGCCTCAGCCCACGGAAACATTCATTTTGAGGTCTGGTCAAACAAGGACACAGTGGATTCCAGTTGATGTGGATACTTCTGAGAGCTGTCTCTGCATCAGCACAAAACTGCAAATGAAAGCTCTGACCTAGTTGAAATGAAACACAAGGTAGAGGCTTTTCCTTAAAGGGAAAAGGAAAACCCACCAAACTGGACCCATGCCACTTAATTATAATCAATACCTTGAATTGTATCTGGAAACAAAGAATGAGCTGGTACAAATGGTGGAAGGGCATGGCAGAACACCTTTCACATAACTGCACCTCAGCTTGTCTCAAGTGGAGAGCAAAGCAATTATTCATTGACACAGCTGAAGCCAGAGCCAAGAGAGACAGAGAAATTTAACGGTATGGGTCTGTCCTCAAATCAGAAAATTATACTGTCATCACCTGTTCTTGAAACTTTAACATTATGTTTTATGTTAACACATACATTAAACATTATGTTTTATGTTAATGTTATACATATGTTAATGTTGTACACTATGTTCTACTTTTGTTATCCTGGATCAAAAGAAATATTGTCCTAGCCCAGCATCCTTGTTCTGGAAGTGGCTAGCCACAGAGAAAAATGGGACCATTATAATTCTGATTTATTTCCCCTTTTTCACATTACCTTTTGCATTCTGAATTTTCAGCTGCTAAGTATACTGTGACAGCCAGAAAAATCCTTCCATTTCTCTATCTCTCCCTTCTTGTCTCTCAGCAGCTGATCATTCTTCCTTGTCCTTCTTTGTATTTTTCCTGCTGCTGGACAAAGAGCTCTAACTGTTTAAAAATCCTGATCTCCTTCCTGAGTGTTAGTTCAGAGTTTTTTGAGGTTATTTTAACTGTTTTCCATCTGTATCCCTTTGTAAACATCAACATTAATTTTCCCCTGCAATTCCCTTAGCTTTTTCATACTGTGAAATTCCTTGTTAGTTTTTATTTTTACAATTATGAATAGCACAATATCACCAGCAACTCAGCAGTACAACAACCCTCTACTGTGAACTATTACAAATTGACAACAACCTGCTGCATTCGTGAGTCCAAACATCCACAAGAGCACACAAGGATGTGATCCTCCGGTCTGTGCAAGAAGTGCTAGCTTTGACAAAATAAATAAAAGTCTTACCTTTCCAAGAGGCACATTGACATCAAGGCCAAAGAATAAAGGCAAGAGAGAAGAACAAGAATAGAAATAGAAACTGTAGAAGAAAAATAAGACTGTGTAAAAATGAAAGGTAATGGCATTGTAAGCATCAGAATTATTTTTGCACTCTGTAGAACAGTTAGAGTATTTATTCATTCAGAAAACACTGTTATTTCCCTTGTTACTTCTGTAAGTATCACACCACTTCCCATGCTTTGAAAACAGATAATTTTGGTGATGGATTACAACTGGCACCATATTGAAAGCCCGAGGTGTAGCTGTCACATCATGATACCCCATGGATTGACAAGTCATAAAGCTGGATAAAAATAGCACGCATGGTATTTTTAAGCGTGTTAAAAGATAGTGGCTGCAATCCATACCAGAAACAGCCTGGACATATAAATACATAAATATAAATATATAAATATATATATGTACACATGTATGTTTATAGGTACCTACACACACACCCATACCAAACACCCACCATTATATGTTTAATAATGTAATGTAGTATTTTAAGATTAAAGTCTGTATCTACTGACACAAACTGAAAAGAAGGGACAGTGGACCACCACCAACAGGTGCAGCTGACTGAGCAGAACAGAAATGTCATGTAGTTCAAGAGAACTGGATGACTACTTTCAAAACAAAGTTAATCAGTGTGCTTCAAAGGATAACAGAACCAACCTTTTCCTCCAGATCCTTTATCTGTCTCTTTTGGATGTCAGTTTTATCTTCTAAATCTCGGATCCTCTGGAAATCAGAAAAGAAAGCATATACATTAAATTCTCAGTAAATCTATCCCACTGAACAAGTAGCTTAATGTTCCATGGGCCAAAAGCCTAGAAATCAACAAATCCATTCCTGTGGCAGGGACAATCTTGTGTCATACTGTGACTCCATCCACTCATCCTGCCAAACCACAGCTTTACCATGTGTGCAACTGCTCAAAATATGATCCTGCATATATGTAACTGGATCCTTAAATGCTGGAAATTAGTATCAATGATGGATCTGGTTTTGCATTATCTATTTATTAATACTGTGTTTAACAGATCAACAGTGTAAGATCATGGTTACAATCTTTAGAATTCACACATGATTCATTAAGATTTGTCACAGTTTGATGTGTCGAAAGAGGATTAAGTGGTATTATTAGATCCAAAATGATAAATGTATACAATATTATGAATATATTGATTCTCTGGTGAGTAACATATATGTAACTTATAGACAAGGTGTGTATTTTTAGCAGAGCTAGGTACTTAAAAAAAATTATGTAGCATGACTTAAACTTTTGCCTGCTTGGGAGGAGAGATCCCCCAGAACAGAACTTCTAAGCACAAGAAATGAGGCCTTGAATCTCAGTATCTTTTTTTTTTTTTTTTTTTTAATTAAGTCAGGTCATAAGACAGCTGTCCAACAAATAGCAGAAACCCAAAGAGGCAAAGCAGGAAACACCTGATCACCTGGGAACAGGTGATCTGTGAATGTCTTCCTCAATGTCTGGACATGAGATTACTAACTTATGGCAGCATTCAAATTCTGTGGAAGCACAAAATCACAGAATGGGTCAGGTTGGAAGGGACCACAGCAGTTCACCTGGTCCCACCTCCCTGCTCAAGCAGTGTCATCCTAGAGCACATGGCACAGGATTGCATCCAGATGGCCGTGGAATATCTCCAGGGAGGGAGACTACACATCCTCCCTGGGTAATCTGTTCAGTGCTTGGTTACTCGCACAATGAATAAATTCTTTTTCATTTTCAGGTGGAACCTCTCCTACAGCAGTTTCTGCCCACAGCCTCCTGTCCTATTGTTTGGCTATCTCCTCCTTCCTTTGCCTCTCAGCCACTTCCAACTGAGGCTGGCTCAGTCATTCTGAGAAGCCAAACCTGCTGTGGCAGTGTCCCTCAGGCAGTGTCCCTCGGGGCAGCTAGCATGTTTAAAATCAAGAAGCTTCTTATGCGCAAAGGCCTGGGAACAAAAGGTAAGGATGGACCCAGTCTCAAGTGCCCAGCTCAGGATCTCAGGATCACACAAGACTGTGAGAACTCAGACTTCCTGTGAACCAAATCCCCCTAACCACTGGGGATGTGCTTCTTCTCTTACTCCCATAAACGCCTGAGTCAGATCTGTTTCATGGTGCAGCTTTCATGTTATTCAATGTGCTGTGACAGTTTGCAATTTTGCTCTGGGACATCACAGCTTGCAGAGCAGCAAACATCAGTCTTCAAAGGTGAAATGCAGTACCTTATCTCAGCAGTGAAAAATACAAATACCCACTTGGGAGGGACAAGAAGTATCTGGAAAAACAGACAGCTCTCCTGTGCCATACGAGCCAGCAGCATTTACTCCGTTTCTCTTGTGCCCAGTCCAGTAACTAGGGATGACCATTTTTATTACAAAGCTATCACTGTGCAGACAGAATTCTGGATGAAAACTTTAGGCTAGAATTTTAAAACTCAAAATATGCCAAAACAATCTTGCACAAGCTAGTATTATGTGTGCTTGCATGCACAGGAAAGACGAAGTATGAGACAATTCAAAAAGCTGGATGCCAGGCTCCCTCATGGCCTGCAGCTTGCCTAGATTCGAGCTCAGATTGTGTTCTTACACAGAAAGGCTGAGTAGATACCACAGGTGTGTGATTTCTTCTTCTTACTTACCTGATGAGCCTGCTGGAGCAGCTCCATCCTCTCCTGAAGAATCTGGCAATCATATTCTCTGCTTTTCCTCAGCATCTGACGTCTTAGCTTTTCTACTGCTGTCCTCAGCTCTTCCTGCTGTTTTTCAGTGAGTAGTTCCCCAAACTTTATTACTGTTTCTTGCTGCAAAGCATTGTACAAGGTGGCTTCAAGCTCCTGGATCCTCTGGTTGATGCAATACCAAAAGTCAGTTAGAGATGAAACATGGTTTAAACCACATTGGAAACTGGGGGATTGGTGGCAGATTCAGACCCCTGCATGAGAGGCAGTCCCTGTGCTCAAGTGTGCAAAAATGTGAAAAACTGAACTCAGAAAATGGTTCTATGTTCTGAAAAAAAGGATAGCAACTTTTATTTTTAAAGTATTTTAATATTAACTTTCACTGAAATCCTTCATTTCTACTCTTTTTTATGGAGTTAGAGATAGAGTTGGATGGAATGTTCGTATCTGAAGTGTAAATTATTTCACCAATTCTAAAATTTCCACCTGTTGCGCTAAAAAACTCCAGCTGGACAAGCCAATATTCATGAGCAATATCTGCCTTAAACTGACAAGAGTTTCAGACTTCAGGAGATGGGCCTTTTTATGACATGAAAAGGTGAGCTATTGTGTTGAAGCTGTGCAGATTGCATGCTAGTACATCAGAAGAATGAGAAATTTTTAAAAACCCAATACTAACAAAAAAGCAAAAATCTCTCCTCCTGATTCAACAAACGTCTGTGTGCTATTGCACAGTTGACCAGTATGTGCATATGCTGCAGAATTTCCTTTGTACATACCATGTACGCTTGGTCAAGAGCTTGCTTTCTGTAGTCTAATTCTTCCTCCAAATAACCTTTTATTTTGCAGAATTGCTCCTACAATGAAGGATCATTTGGACAGAAAAACAAATTAGTTACTCCAAATACTTTAGGAAGTTTTATCAAATCATTTACAGATATCTAATTCAGCAGGACGAGGAGACTGGTTCTCAACTGATACTCAGCAGAGTTATTAATATCTGACTCAGGCAGAAAAGAAGGAAGGGCAAACAGCTGTAGACTGATCTTGTGGGTGAAAATGTCTGATGTACATGGAACTAAATCCATCCTCTCTGTTAGCTTCAGTGGTATTGCTTGGCCTTTCAGTAGTGATTTTTCTAAAGATACTTCCTCTGGCATCAGGAATTACTCTTTTTGTGCCTTCTCTTATTTTTGAAGAGGTGCAGAAGTGGACTGAACTAAACAGGAACTAACTCTACATTCACATTCCTTGGGGGCAACTGCTGTGCTTTATCTTATCAGTCCACCTTAAGCTGAACAGACTTAGGTACAGACATACCACAGGAACAAAACACACACCACTACAGCTGTCTAATTCTTGTAGTTATGTTTGTTCATCTCGTAGGCTACTGCCATTAACTAGAATAAGAACAGGATAAGATTACTTAGTGTGTAATGAAAGCCAACAGTGTTATTATTCAAGTCAACAATTTCTCACATGCTGGTCCTGAATAAAATGCAATACAACAGCTGATGTTTAGGCTGTGAATCTTATGAGACATATAATGCATGTATCTCTGAAAATTATTGAGAAACCTTTGAACCCTCTGTACTTGTTAATAAACAGTCATCCTCACAGAGAGAGGAATTTTTTAAACTTTTACTATTTCTATTACTGTTATTCTGCATGTGAACTGGACCAGGAACAATTTTATGGATTCACTAATAATCAGAGAAATGCTGCATAGTTCATTTGTCAATACACTTTCCTAGTTATTTTTTGGCACATCAAGTAAGTGTGACACAATCAGTGTCCCTAAAACATGTAATAAGGAAAGTTTTCTTACCATATCACTTTCCAGTTCCATCATCTTCTGATGCAGAGCAGCTTCAGCTCCCTCAATCTGCTGGATCCACTGGAAAGAACAGAAGGAGACCTGAAACTTGCTGTGTTTTCTAGCACACAAGCAGTGGCAAGTGGGATATGTACAGCATCTTGTTAGTCTGTTTTTAGCAGCCAATTGCTGCTGGGCTCATTTTGAGGCTGTTTGTGACAGAGGCCATGATGTCTGCAGGTAGCACTTGGCAGGGAAGCAAGCAAGAGGATTACCACTGCTGGGTCACCAGAGGATGGAAAAGCACACACCCTTGGATGGACAAGGAACCCATTCCATCCCATGGATAAAAGCCCACAATGGGGCTATAGTATCTCAAAAATAGCTTAGTTGGCTTTATGGCAGTTCTGTTTGAAGCAGAGGCATTGTTGTGCAGAGTCCTTGGAAGCTGTAATGTTGAAAAATCTGTATGCTGCATTTGAGCCTTAGAAAGCAATTTTAACCAACCTCCACTTTCTTCTTCATTTTTGAAACAAGAAATGTAGACACACACTTTCAGTGAAATCTTGGCATACAGACTTTTGGAAGCTTTAGAAATCTCAGGACTGTAAATCGCAAACTTTAACTAATTACAGCTCAAATTTCTGATGATTTCTCATTCAGTTTCCAATTGCAAGTTTTGTTTCATATTATTTTTGTTCTACTGCACAGCTTGGGCCAGCTCAGTTTGTTATTTTTGCTGCTTCAGCAAGGTGTTTGGGACTGTGCTGGCACAGTTCATTTTATTTGGGGAATACTCCCAACAGTAAACAGTTTAATGATATTATTGATGACAACAACAGGGCAGAAAATGTGTTAGATGAGGCTTTAGATAACATGAGAAGAGCAAGTACGTTATTTACCTTTTCTGCCAAGGACAATACCGTGGAAGCCTGAATTATGGCCACTTGTTCTTCATTCCTTAAATTCTGTGAAGGGAAAGACAGGAAAGAGGAAAATTGGCAGCAGTTTCCTTCATGAACAAAGACAATCCAGCCTACAAACCAGGTCCACACTTTTCAGAGGATCCCTGTAGTACAGAGTATTCAGTTTCCATTGAAATATTCAGAGTCTGTTCACATATTAAGAAGACCACTGGTTTTGCCTTTCTACATGATACGGATTAATTGTATCATTCATTCCATTACACCTTAAGAGAGATATAAACTAAAATTAGACCCATTTGTTTGTCTTCATGCTAGTTTTACAAAACTGAATTTCCATTAAAGCTTTTGTAAAAATAGTGCTGATCTATATCAGCACATGAATAGACAATAATGATCCTTTGTTTTTATTTCTTATAAACTTTTTAAAGACATATCTAATGTTGGCCAGAGATACAGCATCTCTTTTACATGGGCAGCTATGCCCTCTTAGAAAGCCACAAGGAATTTGATATTTATGAAACTGTATGAAAGAATCCTAGTCCTGATGAAGAGTGGTTTATTCAGACTGCCAAACTCCTTCATGTGTTTTCCTGAGTGAATAGGGTGCAGTTGGGCCCAGTCCCAAATATTGGTGGTTTTTGGATATTCTTCCCAGTCTGCCAAACCATAGGTAACAGACGCATAATTTAACAAGTATCTCTGAAAACAGTCATAACTACATAACACTTACTGCACTGTACAAAATGCCGCTTGTAAAGACAAAATATCTCCCATTTCAACTTACCCCATTATCACCTAGGATGTCTAACTGCTTTATAAGGTCTGGGATGCTCACATCCTGCAAAGAGAGAATAAGGTAAAGCATGGCATCCACCTTTTGTCATGGCTGCAATATCCATCTATCCTATGAACCACATGGAAGCCAGCCATTTTGTTTTAGCCTATGGAAATGCATCACACATTGATTTCAGTTGCCTTTGAAAGAGATTTTATCATTATGGAGAGAATTTTGAGTCTAATTGAACTGTGTCTGTCACCACACTCTTACATTAGACTGAATTTAAATACCTAAAGTCTAGTGGAGTTATTTGTAATGGATTATATGGGCAGCACCACCACTCCTCTAGGGAGTAGCACTGTTTTATACAACTGACCTACCTTAACCCCTTCCTTCATGCAGTAGATCTGTAGAGCACTCACACCATCTGAGAATGGGTGAATCTGGAGATTAAATGGTGGGGACCGTCTCTCTCTTTCCTGCAAATTAATTGAAAATATGCTAGAGAATCTATTAGAATGAAGGAGATGCACATAGAGAATGCCATAGCTGCTGTTTATATCATTATTGGCTTGCAAAGCCAAGCTCTTCATTCTACAAGCCAAGAAAGAAACATGTAGACCTACTCTGAAAAAGTGAGCCAAGTGGGACAGGATCCTAAATCCAAGGTAACTGTTTTAACAGGAGATTATTTGGTAAATCATGTCAATTTGCAAACTGGCTGTGGAAAGGCTGTCACCTAGCTAAGATTCAAGTGATTTGCTTTATTAAGTGTTGAACAACTCTACATTGTTGTAAATACTCCCTTTAGAAACAGGTGTTTGACATCAGACTATTGGGAGACTCAGATTACACATTTTCCTCATCCTGGTATGCTGTACATTCTAACATCTGTGGATGGGTATGGTGCTTACTATTTCCAGGATATTAGAGCTGACATACTTCAGCTCACAATTAAAAATGCTGGGCCTGATTTGTAACTCTGTTTTATTGCTACAACACTTGTGTAAATCCTTGATTAAAGCTGGTGTCCAGTGCAAGTGCAGTCACTTAATTTTCCACCAGCTCTACTGTAAGAAGCCCATCCATCACCTCCAGCTCAAGGTTGCGGAACTCCAGCAGCTCGTTCTGGTCTCGCGCATCCTGCAGCTCCTGTTGCAGACGGTTGTTTTCCGCTTCCGTTTTCTCTATCTAACAGAAATATGTAAAATCATGACCTGTGTGACTGTTACAAGAACCATGAAGTATTAGGTGAGTAGTAGTTGAGGTAGCACAGGCTGTGCAAAATCTAAACCCTTAAGATGTCTCACAAGATCCAGATAACCGTTCAGAGCGAACATGCAAACCTTTGGAACCTACCTTGTCTAAAAGCTCTTGGTTCCTCTTAATAAAAAGCTGCTTATCTTCCACCCAGTGTGAGTCCTGTTGGATGAAGCAGTAGTATTACAGAATAATCAAATTCCAAAAGGCTGTGCACATTTATTGAAAATTGGAGCCACAATATTCAAACTTTAACATCCTACAGGGACAAGTTGTCTTTTACAGAACAACAACATTTTAAGTTTACCAAGGTGTAGCAAGGCTTCTGAACTTGCCAGATCTGCCTGTTTACTGACTGGTGACGTTACATCTCATGGAAGTTTATACTGAAATTGTGCTTGCTATTTTGTAAGCAGAGCGGGTAAGATACAAAACAGGGAAAAAACCACACCAGAATTACTTACCTGTCCTTTCTGAGCCAAAGTTTTCTCCAGATCTTCTATTTTGGCTTTATACCTCTGGACTTCAGCTTGAAGTTGCTCCTGAGCCTGTTGAAGTCAAGCACTACATTAAAGAGTAACAAAACCAGCAATGTGACTGGTATTAAAAGGAAACCAAAACCAGCAGAGCCTAGGTTCATGCTGTCAGTTCCACTGAGTGAGCAACCATTAGAAAGATCTATTACTTGACGTGATGTTTTGTGCCACCCCTTAGACTGGCACACAGATGACACAAGAGAACAGAGCAGTGGATCAGCCCCAACTCCCCACCCAAGCCTGTTCCACCATGGATTGCATCAGAGCAGCAAAACACAAGCTCAGGTATTTTGGGCACTCTGCTCCAAGACCCTCATAAGGGGCAATCCCTAAATTACAAAAAAAAAAGTGCTGAGCAGATCAGAGTGGCAACAGGTAGTGGGAAGAGGCAAATTTAACGGCCAGGGGGTTCTTCAAGAGCTGACTCAACTAAATACTAAACAAACCAATGCGATCTCACAGCTAACTGCTTTGAGCAAGAATTTGGGCTGGAGGTTCCTTCCTGCCTGAGGCTCCTTTCAGCCTGAATGAATTCTATAATTTTATTAGAGGGACAACATTTTTAGCCTTGGAAGGTTTACTGTAGGCTGCAGCAGATTAAAATTAAAATGTAATTTGCATTTATCCATTAGAAACATTCAGATGTTCCTAAAGTTGGTGCAATGTGTGCCTTTGTGAAAACCACAGGCCTTCATTTGCCTTTAAAACCCAACCCCCATGACACACAGACAAATGATGAGAAAACCCTTGTGATTCTGTGTCAGGCTGCAGAGTTGTCTGCTTTGGCATGCCTGCCTGACTGCAGAGTTTTCAGGTTCAGATGGAGGACAGCTTCCTGTAAACTGAGTGATTGTGTCCATTCGTAATGGTCACTCTCTTTCAAAATGTACTCACTAAATGAGTGAACAGACATTTCTCAGTGTTATGGATGCTGTATGTAGCACCATCCCATTGTATGTCCCTTTGAGGGGTTTCTTGTCCTGACAGCAATGAAATACTGTTACTCTCAAACAAATACTGACCCTGGCTTCTCTTTCAGCATCTATGACCCCTCCTGTCTGTTCCTGCAGCAGTGCATACGCTCTCTGCAGGGCCTGGTACTCCTTTGTCAGCTGTCGAAACCGCAGCTCTGACTCTTCTGCTGCTAAACCCTGAAGAATAAGAAGGGACATGTCTAAGCCATGGAGACCAAAGCACTGTCAAAGGAAAGAATGCAAAAGTGATTTGTTAAGAACAGTAGTTGCTTTACAGGTCTTGATCCGAATAGCATTTTGGATCACAGTGAGCTTGCTGTGATCTGAAATAAAAATAAATGGGGAGATTATACATCATTTATATCACAGTATCAGCTGAGTTGGAAGGGACCTACAAGGATCACTAAGTCCAACTCCTGGCCCTGCAAAGCACCATCCCCAAGAGTCACTGAGAGTGTTATCTAAACACTTCTTGAACTCTGTCAAGCTTGGTGCTCCCCATTTCCCTGGGGAGACCACTCCAATGTCCAACCACGCTTTGGGCGAAGAACCTTTTTCTAATATCCAAACTAAACCTCCCCTGACACAACCTCAGGCCATTCCCTCAGACCCTGCCACTGGTCACCACAAAGAAGAGATCTGTGTCTGTCTCTCCTCTTCCCCTCATGAGTAAGTTGTAGACTGCAATGAAGTCTCCCCTTAGTCTCTTCTCCAGGCTGAATAGACCAAGTGACCTCAGTTGCTCCTCATACAGCTTCCCCTCAAAGCCCTTCACCAGCTTTGTTGTTCTCCTTTGAACTCTCTCTAGCAATTAAATATTTTTTCTGATATTGTGGCACCCAAAACTGCACACAATATTCAATGTGAGACCACTGCAGAGCAGAGCAGAGCAGGACAATAGGACAATCCCCTCCCTTGACTGGCTGCCAATGCTGGGCCTGATGCCCCCCAGGACATGGGTGGCCCCCCTGGCTGCCAGGGCACTGCTGACTCATATTCAACTTTCTTTCAACCCCTAGGTCCCTTTCCAAGCACTGCTTTCCAGCATCTCATTCCCCAGTCTGTCTGTACATCCAGGATTGCCCCATCCCAGGGGCAGAATCTGGCACTTTCCCTTGTTGAACTTCATTTGGTTGGTAATGGCCCAGCCCTCTTGATTCATCGAGGTCTCTCTGCAGGGCCTCCCTGCCTTCAACAGAGTCAACAGCTCCTGCCTATTTTGCATCATCTCAGAACTTGCTCAGTATCCCTTCCAGTCCTGTGTCCAAGTAATTTATGATGAAATTGGAGAGCACAGGGCTTAAGATGGAGCCCTGCAAAACCCCACTAGTGACAGGTCACCAGTAAGATGTCATCCCATTCACTCTAACTCTTTGATATGTCTTTAAACTACAAGAAATGTGATAGGTTTCCTTGAAAGAGGAGAGGAAAACCACCCCAAATTGCAGAGCAGTCATACCTATAGACTCTACGGACTACATTGTGGAAGAAACTCTCAGCATTTTAGTATGAGTAACCAAAATAAAGGTCAAACTTAAAAAATATTTATCATTCAGTATGCACTATAAAAACCTAAGTGTTCTTGAGAGCCTGACCACTTGTTTTCAAAGTCATCTCTTGAAAACCTGTAACTTGTCTGTGGAAAGAGTCAGATCTTACCTCATCCAGATCATCATCTGGGGTTGCTGGTGTCCTGTCTGTTCTATATGAGGCCACAGAGGATGTTTCAGAGTCCATAGAATCATCATCATACCCAAAAACTGTATCCACCACATGTCTCTACAGAAGGAAAAGCATGATTTCTGAACCTTCATGTAAACTTGTAGCATGTGTTCTAGAGAGCAGCAGAGGGGGGAGTTGGTAGTTACTTAAAAGATGAGGTGTGAAAAGTGAACAGTGGGCTATCCCTGCAATTACCATCTTCACACAAACTCAAAGGAAACCCACTGAAGATCAGGTCTTGTGCTGGTGAAGAGTAAGTTTGCTGAATAATTTTTCTGAGGGTCTGTCTCAGTCTAACTGGAAAACATAATGTGAGCAGCAACATGCCAGAGGAAAAGTCTATGCTCTTACAAAAAGGCAGGAGAATTTTTTCTTAACCAAGAAGCTCTTCATAAGGCATCTATCAACATGCCAAGTGTAGTGCAGTGTAGTGTGCAAAGGTTACATCACAAGGAGCTGGAAACACACAGAATAGGCAGCCCTCCTCCTTCTTGCACAGACACTGCTGATAATTTTCATGTCTAGGTGCTTTTGCTGATATGGCTGTTGGATCATATGAGTGAAAGCTATGCTAATACAAAACTAACATGAAGGAACTTTTATTGCATCTTTCCAGGACTACAGTAACTGGCACCCTTTATAAACAATTGCTCATGCTCCACAGTTTGGTTGTATGCCTGACACCTCGCTATTGCCAATTTCATAGCTGAATTAAATCAAATGAAAACTGTGAGACATGTCCTGTGAAGACACAGATGCTTGACCCTGCAGGCTTGGTTTCAGGGTACTGATTTGAGCCTTTAAATACTTGGCTTATGGATAATTCTGAAGACAAACTGATCAATGAGCAATTAAGATGCACTTCTTCTTAGCAACATCTTTCACTTTGCTGACAGGTTAAAACCTTCTAAACCTGGAGTTTGAATCACACAAAAAACATGTACCAAAGACATCAATTAGCTTTTGCATATATTATAATTTTTGCTCATGGTGTTGTCAAGTGAAAATAATTGCCATATTCTCCAATGTTATAATCTCTATAATGTTTAGAAATAAAATTTACTGACGAAAATACTATTAGGTCCTTGTTGTGTCTGCTGTACACCACTTCACGACCCACACAGAAACAATGTGATGACACAGCTAGGATTTACTGTCTGAAATTCCCAGTGTGTAGACAGTGCTGTGTGACTTTTACAGAACATGGCTGATGCACTAACGGATGCCCTTGGAGGACTGAGTGCAACCAAGTAACCCATATTTCCACTTTCTGGAGGTGGTACATGAATGCTGCCAAGTCATGCTTCACATCTAGTTGATAAAGGAGCTATGCAAACCAGTCCTGACTACTCAGCTCTAAAATTGTTGTAAATATACCAGCTTTGGACTTAACCCAATTCAGGGTGATACAAGGGTTAGTCAAAGGCATGTGGAACTGAGCAGGAGAGAATGACACAGTATCTCAGGCAGAAATTTCCACCTGAAGAATAGAGATGCACAAGGATTTGGCTTTAGCCCATATGTGCTGTGAAAAACAGATTGCAGGAAAAAAAATGGGAAGGTCTCTGATAATGTTAATACCTCTCAGCATAACAGACCCTAGGACCAATACTTACAGAAATCAAATGGAAGAACAATTATTACTACTGGGTGGGGGGATGGCCATAGGAAGGACAACGGATGGGACAGGAGCTCCATTTTGCTGAAAATAAAATAGCTGCACACCCTTAACAGAATTTCAAAGTGGATTTAAAAAGCTCTAAAGTAACTAAGGAATTTATAAACCTGATCACTAAAGCAGATTGTTATAATCCACAAAGCTCTCTTTAATCAGATTGCTAAAGTGTGTTTTCCTACACAGCCTACTTGAACACTGTAAATAAGAAACAATTTTTCATCTTACCTTGATTGGTTTTGAGCTCCTTTTATGCTTTCTCCGACGAATGAGTTTCTCCCTGTCCTAGAAAGTAAGATTAAAAAGTTACTCTCTCTTCTCTTCTTTGCAGCTGACAGATGGCCAAATATATGGAGAAAATAAGTAATAGAAGTTCCAGTGACTCTCTCCATATGTTCAAACAGGAATCTGATTCCAGGTAGAAGGGAGGATTCATATCCCAATCTGTATGTGTGTCAGCTAAATACCACATGAAAAAAGCTCTTGTGCATTTGCCTTGAGCAGCTGTCAAAAAACAGGAGCTGATGGATTGCCCTCTAAAATCACTGGGAGGCCTGGTGCATGGGTTTGGGCACTGTACAAGGGGCTGTCTGCCTCCCCTGATGAGGAGATGCTGCCCCTGTCTCAAAGTCATTAAATGATGGCAGTGTCGATCTCATCATTCCTAGCAATGATATCTCAGAAGAGACAACAGCCTGTTTTGGAATCTTTCTCCTTCTCCTCAGTATCATAATGCAAAGTTCACTGACAAAGGAATTGTCAGCATTAAATGACACAAGAACTGGAAACCCACTGTCTAGCTGTACATGGTTTTCCAGCACATGATATGGGACTGTGGGCCGGCCTCTTGTTAAGGGAACTTTTTAAGCATGACTTAGTTATAATGGAAAAACACCTCGGCACAGCCCTGCCTTGTGAACATGTAGGTACCTTCCCAAGCTCCACAGCTCTTTCTGGAACTCAATTCACAGTGTTATGGTTTGAGTTGTAGGGGCTGATGCTCAACTACAAATTCAGTAAACTGCACACATGCACACCTACAGCTAAACATCTGCAGATGTTAAAAGCAGGTAAGGTATTAATGCTCAGACCTCTAGTTATAAGAAATACTATCAGTCATAAACTGTACACAGCAATCATTCCTAATTTCCTTGTGCTCTGGACATACCCTTGTTAACTCATCAATTATGTTCTGCTGTTCTATGACCTGAAGCTTTAAAAATTCAGTTTCTTGTTCCTCATTAGCCTGATCCAGGTCATTGAGAGATCTTAATTTCTTTAGAGGAGGATGTGATGTTATTTTTTCTCTCTGTGGTAAGAAGAAAAGATAAAAGAGATAAAATAAGATCCAGCGATTAAAAGACCCCCTTTTGGTTAAAAACTAAACATCACCTTTCATTTAAGCTTTAAATATGCTTCAGCTACACCATTTTTTTATTCATGTCCATCAGCACTTAACAATAAAATAGCACAGCAAGGCTGAGTTCTTCAACCAGAACAACAAAGCTTTATCTATTTAGTTACCATGTGGCAATACAGCCTTTACAGCCCTTAAAGGTCACATAGCTCTTCCTTGGCCGCGCATCAAGATGCCCCAACGTGTGGCAAATAAGAGTTGAACCTGTCCAGTGAGCAGGCAAATAGAATCTACTTTCACAACCCCATGTCCCTACTGATATTCAATGTAGGACCACACACAGTGAGGCAATGAACATGCTTTACTCATGTTAAAGACATGCATCCAGTCACACCAGGAGGAAAGGCAAAAACTGTGATAACAGATCTATTTTAACCACAGGTCAATATCCTGCCTGCTCCTGAGCATATGTGGGAAAGGAGATGGCTAAACCCTGTGAGAATTGCTCTAGCCACCAACAGCTTGTCAGCTTTCGTGATTTGGGCATCCATAGTGTGAAGAGCAGATATCAGGGAGCTAACTGGGCACGTGTACACTGTGACCACAGATACGCACCAGTGGTACTGCCCCACTGATGCCTAATGCATGCAGGTTGCAGAGTCCTTTCTCTTTGCTGTGGGAGACTCCAAGGGACTGTGATCTGCACTGCCACAGCTGTGGAAGAATAATTCTGACCCATGACACCTGCAATAAGTTTATCTGTCTTCTAGGCACGGGTAAATTGCAGAGTCTTTAAGTGGATTAGCTGTGTAACACTAAGGTCTTTTTTCTGTGGGACAGGAAAGTGAATCTGATCACCTCTGCCTAATCAGCAGGAAAGCTGCTCCCGTTGCAGGGCACTTAGCCTGCTCAGGACAGTGGCTACTACAGGTCAGGGCAAGGTCCATGAACACCTTTAGCAAGGGAAGTCGCCTCAGTCTGCCAGCTTACATCTGGCAACCCAGAACATCCACCTCCTTTCTCATTAATGCCAAAGCCACACCAGTGGATGTGGAGGAACATGGGGCCTGGAGGCAGACTGATAATCAAGGCAATCCCATCTGAAGGATATACAGACATAACTGTTTTGACCCCACTTCATATGGCCCTGACATGGGAAATGTATAGCCCTAACCAAATTTAAACACCACCATTCTCCCTGTCCCACATGCACCTTCTATGCATCTGTTTTATGGCAAGGTTCCATGTGCTTAGTGCCATAACAGAAGTCTACTTTGTCGTCATCAGCTCTAAAAGGAACATGTACATGATGCAAGAACATCATTCTGGCTGAAAACATCACTCTTTAACAGCTTCCTTTTTGAGTTCCAGATTAAAAAACCCACAGTAGGACATGCCACAATGATATAACATTTTCCTCTTTCTTTTTTTTTTTGAAACAATTGACACTCAATATTCTAACTTTGAAAATATAATTAAAGACTGTGATTATGCATTCATGTAAATATATTGCCTGCCCATGTATGCATAGTACACTATGTTATGGTACGTAAATCTGTAATAATACAGACCAAACCATGGCTGTATCTTAGCAATAGTATTACACACCATATACAATGCACATTCTCTATTCATATACATCATGCACTATGCAGATGTGGCCATCAACACATAGATCCCCCAGTAATACTCATTTTGCTCTTCAGTACCAACCATTTCTATATTTTCTTTAGTGACTGCTTTGAGTTTATCTTCCATGCGCTGCAAAGACTGCATAAGTTCATCATTTCTCTTTGTGAGGCACTTGTTCTTTTCCAGAAGAGGTTTACATTGTTTCTCAGCTTCTCGGACACGCTTCAACTGGATTGATAATAGCAATTAATAATTGTCATGAGAAACACATGAATATACTTGTAATTTGCAATCTTGACATCTATTTTGCAATTATGACATAAAGAACATTGAAGCTGGCTAAACTGATATGAAAGGAATGCATTAAGATTTCTAGCTCAGGAATAAAAAACCTATTAAGAGTTCAATTTATCACCCTCACTCATCCTTAAGCACAGAAGTAGGAATATAAACAGGTTAAATAGCCAGGGTCCTGATTCAACACACAGATATCACCACAGAGTAGACAATCAGATAAAGGGATCAATTCACAGTTGTCAATTCTTTCTAGATTCAGTACTTCACTATTTTCAACCTGGTTAAATACTGGACTACAGACCTAACAGACATTATTTCATTTACAAGGTAAGTCTCACCGTGCACAAGGTAAGTCACCAAGTACATGGTGTGTGCTCAGAAGGAGGGAACAGAAGCATTCACACAGAATCCTACAAGCCTTGCTGCTTCAACCTCCACTGGGATTTTGTACTTAGGTAATTTCAATGAAATTACTGTTTTATTCTAGGATAAAAAGTCCTCCTCAGCCTCCTGAGTGATGGGCCTGATGGATGGACAAGGCATGTTCATCACCAGCTTTACCCTTGGATCCTCCCTCTCTTTGCCCTTCCCCGTGGCTCTCAACCTCCTCTGTCTGCAGGTGCAAGAGCTCACATACCAGCTCATTTCGCTCATCAACAAGCAACGTGTTCCGGTCTTCCAGCTTCCGTATGGTGGCATTCAGCTCTGCTATCCTCTTCTGGTTTCTGCGCAAGTCCTGTGCGTGAGCAGCAATGTCACACAGTTACTGATTCTCTTCAAAATACATGCTTGGAAAAAGAATCCTCAAAAAAAACACACTGGTCAACCTAAGCTGTCATCAACAAATTATCTTCAGGGACCTTGACAGTACTGAATATGTTGGCAAATATATATATATATATATATATTTAGGAGGAAGTATCTGGGGATACTTTAACTGAAAATTTTAAACCATTTTAAAAAATTAAGAGAAAGCAACCAAACAGATGATAAGTTTTTATGACAGAGATAAAAAAGCTAAAAGATTCTAATTTTTATTGCCTTTTCCTATGGGTTGCTTCTATTTGCTGAGCCACTACCTCAGGTGAAAAAGCCAGGACAACCCTTTCTGTATCAATTACATTTACTTTCTTATTTCTCATTCCTATATATGTAAATATGCATTTAAATATGTATTGGTTGTGTAAACATCTTCTGTTTAGTCACACAGTGGGTGACTTGTGTGCTTTCTGAATGACACCCAAGGGCTGTTTGTGGGATACAGACAAAGAGGAGGATCTCCTAAGGGTCTCACAGATTCTCCACGCCCAGCGTTTTCCTTGCCCCTCCCTGCTCATCCTTGTAATTCTATCTGGTTTTGAGGATGCATGCTATCTAGGTATTAAGTTCATCGATGATTCTTTCAAAGGGGCACTGATTATTCAGGATGTGTTATATTTGTGACTAGAACAACTGATGAAAACCAGCAGTACAAAGTTTTGTCCAACTAGCATGCCCTCTGAAGACTCTATGAAAATTAACTTGTCTTTAGTGAATGAGTGAGAATATTTTCCTAGGGCCTGAGAAGATACGTCAGAAAGAAACACACATCCATGCTACTGTTTTTCAGGGACCAGTAAAACCTGCATACAGGGCTGCTGCAGTGCTCCGAACCATCTCCAGCCCTTCCTGGGATCTCTCTCTTGGGACTGCTCATGTTACACTCTGCCTCCTTCACCAAAAAGAGCTGTTCATCCAGAGCTTCCTTTTGCAGCTGCAGCTTCTGCACATAGCCTGTCTGTGTCTCCAGTTCTTTCTCCAATGAAAATATGATCCTGTCTTTAGCCTTGATCTCATCCATCTGAATGAAAGAAACATCAGAACAATATTACTGTGTGAAGGCAACAGCATTTCTCCAATTTGTAATTTGTATTGTATGATTTACTTAAGAGCAGTGATCACCCCTCAAATCTGCTCCACCATACTGCACCAGGCCTGTAGAACAACATAGTCTGAGCCATACCCTTAATTTGGAGCACAGGAGCACATTCACTGAGCATTTTGGCAACACAAGAATACACCTCTAGGATGCAGATTGTGAATGGGGGGGGAGGGGGTGTATCATTCTTGACAGCTTAAATTCCTATTTATTTTACTTAATTCTAAATTCTTGAATTCCAATTTTTAAGCTACACTTTCCACCATTACAAGCAGGTCCAGCTGTCCACATGACAGTGTGTCCCGGTTCTGGCCAGGACAAGGTCAATTTTTGCAATATAGAGAGATTATTCTCTATCATCTCATGTCATTTTCTGGGTATGGGGGAAGGGCTCCCTTCTGGATGAAGGTAGCATGGCTGTGGTCAGGTTGCAGGCTCCATGGTGAGCATTTTGCATGTAAGTCACTCTTCTCTCTCATGTACATATCTCATTGCTGTTTCCAGTCAAGTGGTCTTACTTCAATTCATGATCTCATCTTTACCTTTTGTGCCTCCAGTTCTCCTCCCCAGCCCACTGCAGGGATTGGGGAGTGAGTAAGTGGTTTAGAAAGATTAAGTGGGAGAACAAATTGGGAAGTTTCTAAACCACGACACAGGGAAACAATGCAACCTGCACCTTTGCTGGTGTGGGCTTCTTTTTGTTCATTTTCCACAGTAATTACTGAAGGCTACACCAAGGCCAACCCAAAAGGTATCTCCTCTCCTGCCATGGTTTATTGTGTTTAGGATACCATAACACAGGCTGGAGAAAACAAAAAATTGCAAGTGCAGATGCAAATGCTCTTTATCTAACCCTGTGCACCTTGCATGTATTAACAAATCAGAGAGCCACATCCTTATGGATTAGGCCAATCACTCTCCTAATTTCAGCTGTTAACTGCCATAACAGTGTTATAGCTGACTCACAGTGATCTATTTATTCCTGAAAAATGACAGTGAGAAATCTGTAATACTTTTTCAAAGTGAGCTGCATTGCAAGAGATCTGTTACACAGAAAAAGCTAAGAGACAAAAAAGGCAAACTCAGTGCAGCCTAAGAGAACACATGAACTGTTCTGATTACTGACCAGGCGTCGAATATCCCTTTCACTCTCCCACTTGATCTTGGAAATGGCCTCTTGGTGGGACTGATGCTCACTCCGAAGATCGCCTGCCTTGATCTTGTCGGCCTGGATCATATTGTTAAGGGCCTCATCTACCTGCTTTTTGGCAGACTTCAGCTCAGTAATTTCCTGCAGCAGCTTAAGGCGCTCAGAGTCAAACTGTTTCCTGGCCTCTTCACGAGCCTCAATAGTCAGCGCTGTCCGTACTTTATCACTGCTCCCATCCCGCAGCGCGCACAGCGCCGACTTCAGGCGCTGGATTTCACTGTCTCGGACTTTCACCATTCTCGTCATCTCCTGCTCGTGCTGTTTGATGAGGTTCTCCCTCACAGCCTGCAGCTCCTTCATTTTCTCCTCATGGAGTTTGGCTTTTAGCTCTGTGATCTGCACGGTCTGCTTGCGTTGCTCCACTTCGCGGATACGCTTCGTTTCTTGAGTCTTTTCTCTTTCGAGCTTAGCAACCTACATTGAGATAAAATGAAAGTCATCTGCTGCCAACTTAACATTATCAAAACAAGCCCACCCAGACACATCCATGTCAAATTGAGAAAAAACCCCGCTGAGACCCCAGACAATCCTCCTACAACAAAATACAGGCCAGCTCCTGAGGTATTCACGTAGATGACATTGTCTTTACTCAAACAAAAAACTCTCTCTTCTCCAGGTGTCCTGCCTCACACAATGATGCTACATGTACTTTTAGTATTTCCTTAGGAAATCAGACTCCCTATATATGTGTTCATTTTTCTAAAAGCTTTTTAAACCAGTAGTCTAATTCACCAGAAAACTGAAGGGCTCAGAAAAAGCAAAATTCCTACAACTTTCACATACTGCTCAATTTGAGGGCCAGAGGTTTCTCCAACTTGTAGCTCAGTAAAATGGAGTCTTTTCCACGGAAGCCATAGCACATCCATAGTAAATGTTGTATGTTGGGAAAGAATCAGACCACTTTTTTAGGAAAAAGTTGTGTGGCCACTGTTGAATTCTGTGCTACTATTTTTTCCACGTGTTTGTCTTCTTCAGCAGACACTTTTATTTAAAACCAAACTGTCACTGACCTTAGATTTCTCCTGATGCAGCTCAATTTGAATGTCTGTTAGCTTAGTCCTGAGTTCCTCATTGGCAGCCTGTAGAGCAACAATCAGTGCCTCAGGCTTTTCGCCCTTGCTCCGTCCTTTTTTTGACATGGTTTTTTATCAGAGGGTCCACACGTTTATTTCAAATATGGATTGCCATCTTCTTCTGTTCCTTTCAGTGTTAGTTAGTTCAACTACTACTGCGTGACATTCCTTAAGGTCCTGGACTCAGCTGCTTTGAAAGCTCTGTAAGAAATAAGACATACTATTATCTGTCAGTGGACGCTGCATCTGGACAGCTCACATGCTTACAGAACACAACAGAGCGCTCCCATCTCCAAAACACTGCAATCTTTGCCTGAAAACCTACAAGGCAGATCCCAGCACAATCATGCTTCTGAACACCAGCCTGCCACGCTTTTGGGAATTCCACGCTTGCCCTTTTCTGTTCTCAGAAAGGGGCACCATGCATTGAAGACAGGTGTTCATTTACCATAAAGATCAGTGCTATTGAGAGTACGAGACTGGAAGGACAGGTTATTTACTCCAATCCTTGCAGTCTGAGGTAACCACAAACCAGACAATTTAGTGTGAAGGATCGACCAACAATATCATTCTCTTCCCCTTCCCAACTCCTGATCCTCTTCAAGATCCTGTGCCAAACTCAAAGACTCTCCACAACACTGCTACCACCTGTCACAAGAGGAAAAGGTAAGTCCTCAGTCAGCATTCCAGGCCTCTGGGGAAGCAGAAAACGAGTAACATGCAAGCGCCTGTTCAGACTAGAAACTGCCCCCATGGAGTAAGAAATGAGTGCCTACGCCTTCTGGAGGATTAAGATCCTAATTTACAAATGAGGCAAGAAATGCCAGTATCACACTGTAATCTAACAACTGGGGTTTTAACATCTGGTTATTAACAGTAAAAAATAAAATTCTGGACAAACATCATCATTATCCCTGTATTCATTTTAATTTTATAGCATTATTATTCCCATTTGTGGCCGCTAGCTGAAATAATGTTTGGAGATCTGGGATATCAGTTTAGAGATGGGCAAAGCACTGAAACATTAAGACTGCAAAGAATGGGACAGAGCACAGTGTAGTGGTAGTGGTCAAACATTCCAGCAATAATGATTAGAGCTCCAGTGCTAGATTCCAGGCAAGCTTTCCTCCATTATTGTCAGGTTGCACATTTTTTTAATATTTTATTTGCTTTAGGTACAAAAGATAAATAGAATTATAATCTCCCATGTTAAAACAGAAGGGACTTCCAAATATGAAAGACTGTTTAACTCAAAAAAAACTTGCACACATCAGCAGAAGGAAGGACAAGAAAAGTACTTAAAGTCCCTGTGTTCCAAGAATGAATTTTGAGCCTGTTTCAGTAAGTCCAACCAAACGATCATCTGAAGGCATTTCCTGCAGCACTTTACTCGCCCCTGTTCTTCTTTAGAGTGCTACAATGACAGCATCAGGACATTTTTACAGCAGCTTAATACTAAGGCTGGTAGAGAAAGATTACTTGCAAGCTGTAGGCCACTTTCCCTGTCATGCTCCAGCTGTGGAGTGCTGTTTGTACAACCAAGAGCATCCACAAACCTTGTTTAGGCAGAAAAACATGGGATTTGCCATCAGTATCACAAAGCAGGCAAAGTACGGTAACAAATCTCCTGTCATGTATGGTGGTACAGTCAGTATGAAAACTAAGACGCATTTCAGAACAAAAGGTTCTGTTTCAGCAATAGTATTTCCATTCAACGTCAGAGGAGCAATTTCACACACTAAAAAGTTCTCAAAATTAAGGCCACCCCAGTTAGTTATTACATGTCATAGAGGTATGAGCAAAAATCTTAGATGTAGTCTCTGCCACAACAATCTTACAACTTGTTCAAATATCCAATTCACTTACTGTGAACCAAGTACTTTCCAAAACACAGAAAAACCCATCCATTTTCTAACACCAGACGCTGCTGTCCGTTTTGACTGCACACCATGCTTCTGTACCACAGCCACCACAGTCCTTTACTCTTAATGCATCTCCCAGCAGGCCTCATTACAGAAGAATATGCATATAGCTGTACATTTATAGCAATTAGAAAGACTGCTAATTATGCAACAGCTGTCCAATACGAGAACCACCAAATGCAAGAGGCATCTGAAATACCAAAACTCATAGAAACACTTGTGTGAAGTAAGAAGCTTTACAGGAGAACCACTGAAAAACTGGTTCCAGCCTCATAATAAGAAGTTCCAATCTTATAGAATAGATATCCAATTGCCTACCCAAGTACAGTTTAAAAAAATCATACTTGAAATACGAAAAAATGCCTGCAGCTGAAAACCACTTTACCAGTCTGTACTAAAGTGAAAGGGAACTTGGCCATTGACTAGAACGGGAACAGAAACGGGAGACCAACATGCCTGCCATGGTACCTAAATCCATAAAATGTACTTAGAGATGAGCCTGGGGACTCAGAAAAAGAGAAGGAAACAGAATTCCATTAACTCTTAGAATCTTAATCAGCCATACTGCCTTTCATCTTGATGAATGAATAAATTAATGTACGCATGCTTCTTCTTGCTTTGAACAATGCCCCATAATTGTACCAGAATGCTGCAGTGATGGATATTTAGGATGGGCTGAGAATTCATAGCTCTGATCTGACTAAGAACACTTCAATAGTGTTAAGCAGTATGCAGACTATTCATAATAACACATCTTAATTTTCTTTCCCAAGAGAGATCCAGAGAAGCACCATTTAGCCCAATTAACTTTTAAATATGAAATAAGGTTTAAAGTAAAACATAACTGAACAGTTCCCTTTGTTGCATAGGTGCTATCTGCTCTAGGTCTTTGTTGAAGATGGGCACAAGTACCCAACTCTCATCTCTGCTGAGTAACCTTCCTGGTTTGGATGCTTGGGCTCTTTTCAGTGTCACTCCAGCTCTCTTTACCACAGACTTGGAGGTTAAAAACACATTCTGTAATCATAGGTGTGGGGCATACTACAGTGAGATTCAAATGGAAATAACTTGGACTACAGTAGACAAGACTCTGTGCAAGACAAGCTGGAGAGAAGAGAAAATATGCACTGACAGGTGTTGCATGATGAATTTAATTGCACTACAGTTCAAAGTGGTGATTTATCAGACCCAGGCATGGGTCTCTAGAACACCTTGGGCCATCGTGAAAATCAAGAACAGACTCAGCAGTCTTTTTTTTCCAAACAGGAAGCAGGTGTCTGAGATAAGAGATTAATGGAGTACCTTTTGATTCAAAGCAAAGGAAGGGAAACAAATGCTGCCCACACTAAGTGAAGTGTAGCTTGGTTGAATAGTTGGTGTAGGCTGCTGCACAGTGGCTGAACTTTGCATTTGAGAAAAGTTTGTTTGTGGGATGAAAGTCTAGAAAGGGAAAGGGAAAGGGAAAGGGAAAGGGAAAGGGAAAGATTAGGCTTGGATTTTTGTTCCCAAATCTAACAACATTTTACTTTATTTTCCTAATCAATATTATTTACTTCTTTGTCCCTCCAAATACCTTGGTGTCATCAATAACGAAAAGCCAATTCTCTGCACAACACATGAAGGTTTTCGCAGAGTCTCCTAAGTTCACAATATCACCCTACTAACCTGAGGGTTGCATCTCTCCCTAAAATTGTACTGGCCCTACTGAGTCTGAAGGCATCGTATTATACACCAGATCATAATTAAGACTGTAAGACAAATCTGTTCTGTGTAATTTCTAAATCTCTTCCTTTCTCAGCATTAAAAAATTAGAAAGTGCTGCAGGATAGGAGGAAGGAAGAAAAGAGGTAGAATCTAAGTAGATTTCAATACAGTCTCCTAATCTAGAGCTTTAATAAAAGTCACAATATGTGTAGTGTGAAAAGTCTTGTAAGTTAAGAATTTCCCTGCCTAACAGAAAATAAATTGAAACCTTGATATTTTTCCTTTGGAAATATTGGAAGTGTCTTATGAAAATGCCCTGCTATTGAGAAATCAATACATCATTGCTGAGAATATTATTTTGATTTATATATTTTCACACTTGAAAATGAAACAGCTGTGTCAAAACCAAGCAGGTCTTTCAAACCATACACTAATTAAACACTGTTGAAAATGGCAACCAAACTATTACTTCAGTTCACACCACCTGTGAGTTTTGTCAGTATTTATTTAATAAAACTGACATCAACTGGCTGTCTGGCAGAAATACTTTTACAGCATAAAGGAAAAGATCACAATCAATAGCAGCCACTCTTCCCCTTCATCCATTCTCAAACTGACCTACACAACTGCAAGTCAAATTTCCTGCTCTCATGATAAAGAAAAGCAGCCTGAAGAAGCTGCAAACCCTTGTCGGATTGGATTCTGTTGGTCAGTATTGCCAAGCACACATTTATAACCACATCATCACTGCATGCTAACTCTGGAAAAGACTCTGCCTCTGTAAATTACTGTCTGTCTAGTCCCTTGCTAGGTTTGGGTTTTGTGACCTGACTGAACCTCAGCTGGGGTTCCAAACCTCACTGGCCTTTCTGAAAAGTGCTAATGTTCCCCTTGTAGAACAGAGTAAGGTGCTCAAAGTAAATCTGCTCGCCATTCATACTAGTACACTTGATTCTGTAAGACTTACCAGAAAGGAAAAGGCATCAATGGCCTCAGGTTTTCCAGAGCAGGAAGGCAGTTTCAGACAACATAAAACTGAGCAAACTACGCAATTCTGCCCAACTGACAATCACTTCTTACCAGCGTGTGAAAGTTAACAGCCCAGCGAACTAATACACATAACCTGTTCTATCAACAGTGAGAAACAGGGCACATGCCAAGTTTGCTTATGTACCCCAGTATTTGACAGTCCTCTTCCACAGAAGTCCCTATTACAAGGAAGAACATACTTCCAGAAGGATGCTAGTGCAAGCACCAGCTCACCAAGCACCAGTATGTCAATTTCAAGGATCAACCAATCACCTCTGACAGAGCATCTCTTACTGACTCCTCCAAAATCTGCAGTCCCAGAAGGAAGTTTATAGGAATAACACAACACCTAAAGTATTAGGGAGGGACTATCAGAAATTTTTTAATTGTCTCGTTTGTGTGATCATCTATGTTTTACTAAAGAGGAACTTGCCGCACGATCAAATAATTTTATCACCAATGAACAAGGTGTGTATAGCTAAAATTGCAATTAAAAGAAAGGGACTTTTATTTTTCTTGCCCATAGGAAAGCTCTGCCTCCATCTG